GCCCGTGCCGCTGCAGCCTGCCCCGGCGGCAGTGGCGAGTGCTGGCGGCCGGGCTGACGTGCTGCACCGTGCTGGCCTTGTACGCCGCCAGCAGCCTGCAGGACCTGCCCCTGCTGCGGCGCCACCGGGACGAGGAGGACGAGCCGCTCAGCGTGCTCCTCTGGTGGGAGCCCTTCGGGAGCAGCCGGCCGCTGGGCGACTGCCGCGCGCGCTTCAACATCAGCGGCTGCAGCCTCAGCGCCAACCGCAGCCGCCAGCAGGAGGCGCACGCCGTCCTCTTCCACCACAGGGACCTCATCCTGCACGGCCCCGAGCACCTGCCCTGGGTCAGGCCCCCCGCCCAGCGCTGGGTCTGGATGAACTTCGAGTCGCCCTCCCACTCCCCGGGCCTCCACAGCCTGGCCGGCATCTTCAACTGGACCATGTCCTACCGGGTGGACTCGGATGTCTTTGTGCCCTACGGGTACTTGCGGGCCCGGCGGACTCCGGCCCACCTGAGCTTGCCCGCCAAGACCAAGCTGGTCGCCTGGGTCATCAGCAACTGGAACGAGGAGCATGCCCGGGTCCGCTATTTCCACCAGCTGAAGAAATACCTCCCCATCGACGTTTATGGGGCCCAGGGCCTGGAGCTGAAAGACGACAGCGTGGTCAAGACCATCTCAGAGTACAAGTTCTACCTGGCCTTCGAAAACTCCCAGCACCCCGACTACATCACGGAGAAGCTGTGGCGGAACGCCTTCAAGTCCAGGACCGTCCCCATTGTGCTGGGGCCCCCCAGGTCCAACTACGAGCTTTTCGTCCCCGCGAACTCCTTCATCCACGTGGACGACTTTGCCAGCCCCGCCCACCTGGCCATTTACTTGAAATTCCTCGATAAAAACAAGAACAGGTACAGGAGATATTTCGCCTGGCGGAAAAGATACGACGTCCAGGTGACTTCGTTCTGGGACGAACACTGCTGCAGGGTTTGCGAGGCGATCCGGACGGCCGGGCACCAGCGCAAGACCGTCCAGAATCTGGCCCACTGGTTCGAGAGCTAACCGGGCTGGCAAGCTTTCCGTCGAGGGAGTCTTTGATTAAGGAAGAGGGAGTGAGAGAGCTAGGGCTGAGGTTGATGGGTTTTCTCAGGCACGGTGCGCCAAGGAGGAAGGAAACGCTCAGGGTTTTGGTCTGAGGTCCGCTCAGGCCGTCTGCTTCAGTCACTGTACAGCGAGTCACTACAGATTGTCGCCTCCCTTCTTGGCTCTTGTGCGAGTTAATTCACAGGCTAGAGTCCTCCTGGCACTGTTCAGAAGGAAGGGTGGCATTTGTGTTTGCTTCCACACATTGGGGGAGGGGGGAAACTCCCTGGACGCAGAAAACTAGCACCTCTGAGAGGAGGCTAATCTAAAATCTTGAGAGGCTAGATGTTACAAGTAGGGCATTTTAAACATGGACAGAGTGATACAAATGTGGTAGGCCCAGAAGCAGTGTTCCCTCTAAGCTGTGGGGTCTTGTGAGCAAAAATTCTACTTTGTGAGCTACTGGCATTGAAGTTGTGAGCGAGTGATTTGACTACTGCACAGATTAGTTTACTCTGGAGCCCTCCTTCCTGAGCTAAGACAAAGAATGTGTGAGCCAGAAGCTAAAAAACTGAGCTAGCTCACACTAACTCAGCTTAGAGGGAACACTGCCCAGAAGCGTGGTGGGAGATTTTGCTGAATTTTTGAGGTGGTGACCTTTGGTGACTTGCTGGTTGACTTGGTATGGTGTGATGACTGATCTTTTGGATGCCCAAACATGACTTAGCATCTCTTGGCCCTGCTTACGTTTTGAAGGGTTCCTTGGGCATACTGTGACACACGGGAAGGGGTTCGCAAGGCCAGCCACCATGGCAAAATAACTTGAAAAGGTCAACCTGCAACCTCTTTATCATGTGAACGCCACCATATGTAAGTAATGGACTAAATCTAGACCGAGGTTACCATGTTACAGCTTATTAAGGGGCAATTGCAGTTCTAAGGACAATGTGTGAACTCACTTTGAGGTGGCATGTAAAAGGGGGGCATCGTAAGTGAAGTTAAAGTGCAGTTATTGGGCCAGTAGTCAGCCAAGTGCTGATTCAAAACCAGTGTCCTGCTGACAACAGAGTCGTCTTCCATCACTTGAATTTGCAGTGATGGCACAGACTGGTCACACCGTGCCCAAGAAATTACCGATCTTCATCTCAAACCAATGATGTCAGTGCTGTTCTAGGTACAACTTTAAGGTACAACAGGTGTTTTTTTTTAAATGGTTTTCCAAGCAACTGTGATATTCTTCAGAAGTTTAGTCAATGTTTCTCAATGATACAGGAGTCCAGTGGCACCTTAAAAAATCTAAAAACTGTATTCCAGCACAAGCTTTCATGAATCAGAACTCACTTCATCAGTTGTGTGTTCCTTCTTTAGGCAGATATATTCTTAATCAAAGGAGCAGACAACAGAAGGGGTAGGAGAGAGACCAGTTTAAAAAAATGTCCACTCTAAAGAGTAATCATGCCACTCAGACTGAACAAAGAGCACTTCTGGTTGTAGATAGATATGCAAAGTAGGATTAACATAAAATGTGTCATATGCAGGGTGGACCATGATAAGCAGATCCAATTCAAAAAGTATAGAGGTATATCTGAACTAGCTGTCACCTGTAAAAGAGTAAGATGTGCTAAGAATTTAGCATGTACGGTGAGTAAGAAATGCCAGATCCCTGTTAGATAGATAGAGCTGGACTTCTTGATGAATGCTAATTCAGCCATTTCCTGTTGAATTCTCCCTTTGGAGCAATACTGAATAGGATGAACAATAAGAAACTAGCTCCCCTAAACAGCGTATCTAATAATGCTGATCTTACCTGTAATGTGCAGCCTCAGGGAATGTTCCAGGTACACATTTAGGGTGAAGACATGAATAATTGAAGGTCCCCCCCCTTACCTGCCTGGCTTTTCCCTACCTTAGAAAGTTTCATGATGAATCTACATTCCAGTGAATCAAATGCTGGTTCACCCATCTGTCTCCCCACCACACCTCAGTTTAGCTGCCTTCCCTTGAAAAAATAAAATCCACGTATCTGTGCATCCTTAATTTTTAAATCCACATTTTTTAAAAAAAGCTGTAAAGCACCTTCTTTTACAGCTCAGACCTGTCTCCAAATGCATGGGGGTTCCTCTGCAGATAACTAAATGTGGAAAAGGTGTTGAGACGGTAGAAAGTTTCGAGAGAACTAATCTTAGCCAGGAATACTGCCACGGGATGTGTTTTCCTGTTTTCCTAGGGGCTGACATATGAGCAGCAGTGGTTATAACAGAAGATTCTTTGTTGACTTTTTAAAAAAAAAAAATCCTGGGCCTTTGTGCATTTATTTGGGGAACACCTGGATAGTATACAGATGCTTATAGAAGTATATTAAACCGTAGTAGCATGAAAGAAGCCCTTATCAAGTCTTCAAACAGATCCCTGTAGAGGAGGGCTGCATTTGGAAAAAAAAGTACAGGTAGATGCCATGAAAACAAACAAGCCCTTCAGGGTATAAAGGATTTCTTTCACTAAAAATAACTGTACTTTCGCCCAGGGAGAAAAGTAAAGAGAGCCAGGGAAGGGAGCAAAACACCTTCAGAACTTGAGCTAGGAGCTTATGTTTACAGGCATCTGCACAATTTCCCCTTCACTGTCTCGGGGAGGAGGTGGATGCGATCTATGACTTCATGAAGCCCTTTTGCCTAAGAGAATTTATTTTTGTACTTTGTTGCAGTCTTAGGTGGTCGTTATCACGCGACGATGAATCAGAGGTTCTGTAATGCTGTGATTAGGAGGCATTAGGCAAATCTGCCATCTGTCAGTTTGCGCTCATGTCAAAAATTTCTTTAGAGCCAGCAAGTAGGGGAAAGAACTTGTAGAGGAGGTTATTGTAGCACCGTGCAAGCAATGCTCCCTCTAAGCTGTGGAGTCTTGTGAGCAAAAAGTCTACTTTGTGAGCCTCTGGCATTACAGTTGTGAGTGAGCAATTTGGGTACTGCATAAATTAGTTTGCTCTGGAGCCATCCTTCGTGAGCTAAGGCAAAAATGTGTGAGGCGGAGGCTAAAAAACAGTGAGCTAGCTCACACTAACTCAGCTTAGAGGGAACACTGTGTGCAAGTGTTGCTTGGGAGGGATGGGAAAAGCATATTGCTGGATATGTGGGTAAGAGCGGGGTGGACCAGGGGCTGAAGAAGTGTCCCTGATGGATCACTGCAGTCCCCGTACAAACAGATTCTGTTCTATATGCTCTAGCACAAATGGGCAAAGCATTTCCCTCCCCTTCCCCCGCTCTCTACAACATGAGGGCTAGTAACTCGGTTTAAGGAAAAAGCAAGCAAGCAGGTTAAGATTCTGCATTCCATGCCATCATCCACATGTTGTGGTACAACTGAAGCGATCCAGATCCTCTTGATGGTGATTTCTATTGTGCGTTTCGGGGTATTGTTATCAACAGGTGACTGTTTTGCAATTTGTCCATTAAGAAATAGAAGCACCACACTTGGGCTATATTTGAATCATATTTGGTCAAACGACTCTTGTAGGGAGAAGACAATGCTATATATCACTTCATCACTGAGAGTACAAGCCAGCCATAATCAAACTCTTTAACTCCTGATGGCACTGGTATTTCTGGCCATCAAGAGTGGACCTCCTGATGGCACTGGTATTTCTGGCCACTGTGTGATACAGAGTGTTGGACTGGATGGGCCTTTGGCCTGATCCAACATTGGCGTCTCTTATGTGCTTATGTTCTTAACTCCTTTTGGTGTCAGTAGAAGAATTTATTATGTGCTTGAAGGTGCAAGCCCAAGAAAAGTTAGATCCTTCTGAGACCATAGGCATAAATGTGCTTAGAAGGATGTAACTCTTTTGGAGAGCCAGTGTGATGTGGTGCTTAATGGGTTGCCATTAGGGTATATAAATCAGTTAAAAATAAACTCTTGGGTTCCTTGGGCATACTGTCACACGCAAAGGGCTTGGCAAGGCCAGTCACCATGTAAATTATCTGGTTGAATCCCTTCTATTGAGATTGATCGAACTTAAAACATTATTTAACTTTTGGCTGAATCTGGCCTTTTCTATTAGTGTGATTGTACGGTATGGGGGATTGTTTTATCGAGAAAAATACTTAGTAGCTGAAAGCAATAATGAGTAGTGCATTAAAAAAAAAAAGGCTCTTGACAATTTCAGGCAACAAAACCTCCTTGGCATAGTACTTGGGATTTATGTAGCCCTGTCCATGGTCAAGCCCAGCCCGGTCTCATCAGATCTTGGAAGCTAAGCAGAGTCAGCCCTGGTCTGTATTTGTTTGGGAGACCCCCAAGGAAGTCCAGGGTTGCTGCACAGAGACAGGCAATGGCAAACGACCTCTGAGCATCTTTGGTCTTGAAAACCCCTAAAACAGAGGTGTTGAACTCATTTTTTTTACCAGGTCCGGATATGACATAAATGTCACTTTGTCAGGCCGGGCCATGGGTGCCATAGAATGTAATGCCAGGTACAGGAGATATAAATTTTGTAAAGGACACAGGCAGACCCAATTAACAATATTATTTTTTACTTAAAATACAAACATTCTTAAAACGTTAACACCCTTACAATATCTCTTCAAAGTATCTCCCTGACGCCCACCCTCCCTCTTCCACCACCTGTTATGCATTAGCACTGGGACAGTATGCAGGGACATAATGCACAGAATCTGTCATCTGGCAATAAAAGTAATGACCAGTTGCTCGCAGGCTGGATAAGAGCCCTGGATGGGCCATTTCCAGCCTG